GGGGGGGGGGGGGGGGCGCCTGCCTCTGGAGTGGGACGGGAGCCGGCCGGCTGCCTGGATGAACACTCAGGGAGTGGGGGGACCCCCGGGAATGGCCCAAACCTGCCTAGGGAGCCCAGAGGCAGGACATTCGCCTGGCGGGGGTGGGGGGGCAGTGACCTCACACTGGTTTTCAGCAGCCCTCAGCGTATAAGGCAAAAGGAAGGAGGGGAGGTGGTGACCTCACAGAGGGACCCACATCTCAGGCTGATAAAGGGGGGGCGGGCCCAGGGGACTTTGGAGACCCCCGGTTGCTTTAGCTCTGGTGCGTCTCCTCCTCACGGGTCCTTTGTGCTCTGTGAGTTCCACATCCCGACACCTTTGTGCAGAAGCTAAGAGCCCCCAGGGGTTGGATCCCGCCCGGGGCCGGCTGGGTTCCAGGCAGGCCCAGCCCTCGGTCTAGAGCTAGAAGGAGATTCCCCACCTGGGCTGCGTCCTTAGCACCACTGGGGCTTTCTCCTGGTTGGTTTCCCTTTTCCTCCATCCCCCCACATTTGTCCTCAGTTCTTGCCTTTTTGTGCCCTTCCCCTGCTGCCCACCCCGCAGCTTGTGACCCAACAGACTAGCTGACTGAATTTTGGGAGTTATTAGGAAAGAAATAGATAATTCTATAAAGGCGAAATAATATTTTCTGTGTTAAGTCACTGTGAGCCCTCATGTGAAATCCTGGTCACCCCATCTAAGCAAAAGGGACAGAAAGGGAAACAGAAATGATTTTGGGGAAAGAAACAGCTTCCATGTGAGAAGAGATGAGCAAGCCTGAGACCTTTCAGCTTGGAAAAGAAATGACCATGGGTGGGAGATCAGTTCCATGTCTAGAAAATCATGAATAGTGAAGAAAAACAGAATGACACACCTGGCTGGCTAAGCGTTCTCAGAGAGGAGTTATCAACAATTCTCAGTCATGCTGGAAGGGCAAAACCAGTGGGGTTCCACGGGGTTTAGTTCAATATCTTCATCAATGATTTAGATATTAGCGTAGAGAAGACGCTTATCAAGTTTGCAGATGAAGCCAACTTGCAGGAGGAATAACAGTAGTTCGAATTAGGAGCTTTAATTCAAACTACCGGGTCCCTGCCGCGTGTAGCCACAGGCAGTTAGTCCGGACTACGGGGCATTTAAAATTTCACCCATCTGGGAACGTGCAAATGAAATCTGGGATATTTAAATCCCAGGCTTCATTTGCAAGTTCTAATGCCTATATTAGCCTCCCTAGTCCAAACTAGGGGGCTAGTTTAGACATACCCTACGGCAGGGAAGGGGGGATGTTTGGACAACTCACAGCTCCCACCTCCTCTTCTGGGAGGCCTGAGGCCTGCAGCTGTCCTAGGTGGGGCAGGCAGGTCCCAGGCTCACGGATTCTGTCCCCTAACCTAATTCCTGGGGGTGCAGAGTCCAACCGCCGTGCAGCGCTTCCTGATGGCCATCCCCATGGCCTGCCCGGCCACCTCCAAAGAGGCGAGGACACCCTGGCACCGCATTGATGCCAGGACACCGTGGTGGCCAAGATCGTGATGAGTGAGTTGCAGCAACCGGCAGCAGGGGACAGGATACGTGGGGTGGACAGGAGCCCTGCCTAGGCCATGTGAATGGTGAGGATGCTGGAAGAGGGAGGGACACAGACATGGGCCATGGGGAGGGATGAGAGTGCTGGAGGGGGAGTAGGTTATGCGGGGGGGGGGGCTCTCCCCGGGCCATGGGGGTGCTGGAAGGCAGCAAAGCTGGCTGCTGGGGGTGGGCTTAGGAAAGCAGAGATGGGGAGATTCAAAGGCTGGTCACTGAGGACAGCGAGGGGCTGAAGGCGACCTGGGGACAAGGACTGAGTTGGTCCCTCTTAGGGAAGTGGGGTGTTAGGAGGGGCCCCTGTGGTGAGCAGGAGGGCTACAGGGTCACGGGAGGTGAGGGTGGGATCCTGCTGGCTGGGGGGAGCTGGCTGTGTGAGCTCCTCAGGGAGACGTGCCAGAGGCCCAAGTTTCACATCCCCCTTTGTCCCTTGGGGTCTTACAGGATTCCCCACCTCCATGGTCCTGGCCAACTGCCTCAGCACCGCCGACAGCCTCAGGTACCAAACCCCCCGCAAGCCCCTCCCCCACGCTGCTCCGGCCCGGGCTGGGTGCCACCACCCTTCCCAGGTCCTTCCCAGCTCTGCCTGGGCCACACCCAGTCCCCTCCTCACCCAGCCGACAGGCGCTGAAACCCCGTCTCAGCCACTGCAAACAGCTTCTCTCCGTCCCACAGCCCCAGCTCCTGTTCAGTTTCTGCCTCTGACCTGACCCCAAAGAGCTCACTGGGCCAGGCCTGTGGCATCCAACACCCCCAGAACAGCAAGTCCCTTGGCTACTCAGTTTAGTTGGTTCCTTAGCGCTGGGGGCTTGCAGCAGGGATGGAACCAGCTGCTGGATAAAAGTCTCTGCCCCCTCTCCTGCCAGCACCGTGAAGCCTCCCCTGCAGGCCCAGCTTATGTGCCTCCTGCTCAGGGTTGCTACAAAATAAATTAAGTCTGGGGACTGGCAGGAGGAGCCCATCCAGAGCCAGGTACGTCCCTTCCCTTGCTCCCCCCCCACCACCACCACTTGCCAGGAGCAGGAGCAGCCTCTAGCCACTGCTCCCGGGATGGGCTGGAGCTTCAGAGAGGAGTGGGGGTTACAGAGGGAGGGAAGAAACTGCAGGGTTAGATCCCGCCAGGGGGTCCCTTTCCTCTCCCGAGGGGGTCTGTCCCTTCCATGCCCAGCCTGGGCTCTTCCCTGCTCTGATGCCTATGAGGCAGCTCAGATCCTGCTCAAGGCAGGACCCCAGAGCCAGCTGGCAGCCTGGATTCCCCAACCCTCCCTCTGACCCAGACCTCCCCCTTGCCTTGCAGGAGCTCAGCCAGGCCCTGCCCGACATCCTCACTGCCAGGAGCGGGTGGACTCCCGAGTGGAGGACGTGGCCATTTATGATATTGAAGAGCAGCTCCACACCCGGGACACGGTACAAACCTTTCCACATGGGTGGGCCCGAGATTGTCTGGCCCCTTCCCAGCACGTTCCCCACCTCCACCCCGCTCCCACGAAGGGCTTGTCCCTGGGGATCCCCCTTGGGCTCCTTCTCCTGCATGACCTGTGCCCCACAAGGTGGGGGCTCTTGTCATGCACCAGCTGGGCCCCACACAAGCATGAGGCAGCAGTCTGGGGGGGGGGGGGGTTGGGCACCCAGC